TATATATATATATATAATTCCAAGCGCTTTCGGCTATACCTTTAGCCATTATCAAGGATGATTCGATTTTTCAGCTTAATTGAGTGTGTGCGTTATGTGTATGTCTTAATGTGTGGTAGGGATGTTTTTAATTTCCGAATACTGTTAGCACATTGTGACTTTGTTCGTAGTTAATATTGTTAAGAGTTGGCGTTTTCTTTTTTATTATTAAAGCTTCTATTACTTGTAGTCTTTTTTTTGCATGTGGATGCAGTTAATATATTTGTGTTTTCTACTAGTATGTTCCTAATTGAGACGGGTAAATTTGTGTGTGTATTTAAATGGGTTCTAATGGAGCTGTGATCAGATAGGTGTAACGTAAGACGGATAAGCATGTGGTTGTGTAACCGATGTAATTATTTATGGGTCTGGTTTGATCAGGAACACAGTTCCTTAAGGGGCATTTGAACTCATAGATAATGTTCGTTCTTTGTAATTTTGGCTTAGCTGGTGTGTTGTTATTTTTGAGGATAAGGTTGGCTGTCTTAAATTTTTTATAATAGATAATGAATTTGATTTTTTTATTCGGATCAATAGGAGTAGTATATTTCTTTATAATATGCCTTAGAGAAGATTTGTCTTGTTTGTAATTAATATGCATTTGGTTTTTGTAATAAATGTGGAGAAATAGTCTAATTTGGTGGTCTGCTCCCCAAAGCAAGTAATAACAGCCAAAAATCACATACACATTTATTACAAAAATTGGCTTCCTAAAATAAAATTCAAATTTTCAGCAGAAAACTGCATTCTCATCTTCGACAGCTTGACGGAAAAGGAGATTGATTTTATTTTTATCGGATCAATGCGGAAGTGTTTTAAGAGCTACACAATTCAACTCCTCACCGGTAAGATTTGCGCAATATTCTCCCTCGCCTCCATTTAACCTAAATATAGACAGCGTACATGACGTCATGGCAAGCTGCAGTGCACGTGACTTAAAAAAAAAAAAAGAAAAAAAAGAAGATTCCCCGGGTAATGGGAACTTTAAAACCTCCCCTGTTTTTCTCTCTCTATTCTCACACACGCATACTCACACACATATTCACTCACATACGTAGATTTGCATAAATTGTATCTAGTTTGTATCCACGCTTGCTATGGCAAATGCTAAACGAATGAATGAACAATTCGGTGAGGGAATGGCAAGTTGATTCAAATAAATGTAATGTTTTATATTTGACTGCATTCATATTCTTCTTGCTTAGCATTTTTGTGCATTTTTTTGTCACATTCTTTTTTAGCATGCAAACTGCTGTTTGTCATGTCTTCTTCACGCTTTGATAACTAAGACATATTCGCTTCGATGTTTTTTACTCATCTTTCATCTTGCTTTCTTCTTGTGTGGGACAATGGTTAGCTGCTCACTTTTTTTTCTCTTTTATTTTTCTTCTTGTTCTTCTGTTTGGTTCTATTTTATTTCTTTTGTCGTTATCTCTTTTCTTTATTTTCTCTGGGGCTTACGGCCACCTCACGTTGAAACACCGATTCCGAACAGTCAGCGAAGTTAAGCAACGTCGAGCCTGGTCAATATGTAAGTTATCCCACTTGGCGTCGCCAAAACGCCTATTAGGAGACGCTCTTTAAGTCTATAAAACGACAAGCATATTCTCTCTCTTCCTCGTTTTAGCTCTTTTTAACCCTTGCTTCCAGAGGAAGTCGAGGTAGATAAACAAGGAAGCCGACAGGGTGCGTTCGCTTCCTTTGTCCTCGGTTGACTATTGAACTCTCTCTCACACAAACATGTACACACGTGTCTATCAGACACGCAAACAAGTACATTCTTATAGTTAGTTTTAATACCTTTCCTTTCGTTAGAATGATGTAGACATGTAATTCCTTTTGTTAATAACATGCATTGTCATTTGTTTTATATTCATTGTTTCGTACACTAATATTGCGGATGTGTGTGATGTGTGATGGAGAGGAATAGAAGGTTTGAATTATCAGAAGGCTTAAAATTATGTGTGTTCAATAATCTTCCATCCACAACAATTAATACAAGACATAGAATAATTATTCAAAAACATCTTGTTTCAAAACGTAACAATTGAATTTATTAATATTTGATATACATGCATGTGAACTGAAAAGTTAGACAGAGTTGTGTCTCTTAGATTAGGTAAATATTTGTATTCGAGCTCATAAAATGAAATTATTAACTGTAGTTTAGAAGAATAAAGTTTCTTTAGCATGTTTGGAATTGTGTATTGTACAAGTTGGTAAGAGTTCAGAAGAGATTTCAGAGTTCATACTTGCTGAATGTTGGTAATGGTCTTTAACGTCTGACTGCATTAGTTAAGACGGGAGTTCTTGAAGGTTACATTTTGGTACTTGGTAGCAAGGAATGAGACGCGCGAGAGAGATGAATGAAAAGAAAAGAAACTCAAGGAGATTACACGTGTTCTTTTTATATATCACTGTGAATCACGTGACTGGCTCAGATGGAAAACGCGGTAAAACAGATTTGTCGCGTGCAGGCGGTTTGATTGGTCGGAACTGACCAATCAGTAAGCTAGATTGAAGGTCATTAGCCAATGGATGCTTGTTATATATTTTGTAAGATTGTGATGGTGAAAATTGTAACAGGAATAGTGCATTTCCTAGCAGGGGTTAACTAGCTTGTTGTGGAAGATTCCACACTAATTTTTCCCGAACTCACACTGAGTCGACCAATATTGATTACGGGCTAAATGTTCCAGGAGCCCATAAACTATACAAAGTACACACATTCATATCCAAAGTGCTGATTTCCACTAGATAACGGTGACTTATTTTGACTAGGTACTAGTTGCCGGATACTGTTATCTTTTATACTAGAATCCGGCAACTAGTACCTAGATGGATGACCAATTGGGAATACTATGTGTTTAAGTTTGGATGTGCGGGTGGTGTAATGGATAATAGCTAGGAATTATTAATCAGAGAGACGAGTTCCAATTCCCGTTGGGTTCGTTATATTCACTTATGCGCAAATATCCTTGGGAAAGGTATGAATATACCTATTCTTCCGCCTAGCTATGGGTTTAATAAGATTTGTATCACTAAATCATTATTATCTTAAAAATAAAATTCTTACAATCTAAAAAAAATCTGGTTTTAAATAACATTACTAGTACGAGTAAGTATTACTAGATTGTCAACTGGGTCTCAATGTTTTACTGTTGACTTACCTACATGAAACCGTATGTTATATTGTAATACTTTCTTTTATCGCACTTCTAGTCCGTTGAACTCTGTGGGAGTTTTCACTAACATCATAGCAACAGAAATTAGCCTTATGTTCACGGAGGTATACTTGAAAGGAAATAAAATGTACACAAATATGAAGAAAAGCAAGGTAAATTGTGTGTTAATTTCGTACAATTTATTTATATTTTTGTGCGTATTGGTGTGTGTATTTTTTTTTAATTACAATTGTTTTATAGTACATAGAGAGAAATTTACTCGGTCATATTACAAGCTATATCACAGAGAGAAGTTGGACAAGCGTTTTCCGTACAAAGGTTCGTGGTGAAGAGCTTGAATATAACGTCTTTTGGCAGGATGTCCGTATTTCCGGCCGGAACAGTTTTTGTTATATGCTGGGGGTACCTTTATTATTTAATTTAATTTATTTTATGCAACGTTTGTATGTTATTGTTTTATTTTATTTATAATTTTCATTATTATTATTATTTTATATTTTATTTTATTTATTCACAATAATAATAATATTCTTATAGTGATTTTCCAAGCCCGGCTTAGATGTGGCACAAGGCCGAAAGTATGGGGTACCCAGTGAGGATCGAACTCAATAATCATATCCTTATAACTCTCTCCCGGTTTCTTCTTTCCATTCCATATACAACCTTCAAAAATTGAAATGCAACGCCGGTTGCCATCTTCTGTCTTCCTGAACCTTGTTCTTTAATTGACCTTTCTCCCCACTAAAGTGTTCTTATTGTCCTTCACGCCAAGTAACCCCTTGCGTCTTAGTGGCATTATCAGGAAATGATTAAAAAAGCGTGTGAATGAAAGTCTATGCGTAGAAATGTTCTTTTTTCGCGCGTACGTCCATGAAATATTGTAAGTTATTTTTTTAGGTGCGAACTTTGTTAGTTTAATAGAACTATTGGATATGCCTGTGTATAGTCAAGTAATCTAATCAAGGGCATTCTACGCTGTCTAATTCAATGTGACATTAGATACGCTGGGGACTGAAAAATCCCAGAGAGAAACCAGGCATGTTCTATCTCAAAGGCATCCTGTAGGTGGAGGGAGGGAACAAACAAAAATTGAAACTTTGCGTCTTTTTATTACATACTGCTTTTAGCAACGTCATCTAGTGGTCGGTAACAGAAACTCTTTGGAAGACATGCGGGGCAATCCCACAATCAAAGTTGTTTTTTTGTTTTGAAATTTAAAAGTAGAATTTATTGAGTGATTATTGCTTGCTTGAACTTATTTAAATCAATCTCTCTGGTTTCAGTTCTGCTCTTGGTTATATGGAGTTTCGCTATATGGACGGACATTTTAAGGAGTTCATTTGAATCGCCGCATTGTGCGCATGCGCGCGCACATATGTGTGTATGTTGAGTGAATCGTCTTCGTAAATGTGTAAAAGGAGATGGTGGAGAAATGATGTCAATGACCATTGTAGCCATAACTAACAAAACAAGACAGCGATGTTATTTATAGAAGAATAAATGTAAAAAAAATAAAAGCAAAACTTTTTTTTTCAAGATGGTAGCTCTACCGTCTTCGATTGGTTCCAAACGTGAATGATTGGAATTTAGCACCAATTTTCGGTCCTGTCGTGAGACGTTTATTTTGATCCTATACGAATGGCAAAATTACTTTCGTTATTAGAATTTTACTTTCCACAGGATGAAGATATCTGTTATAATTACATTTGTTTATTTTAACATATCTTTCATTAGCCTTAATTGTATTCAACCTTTTCATTTTTTCTTTCTTATTCTATGATTTTTGCTTATTTTATTTTCATCTGTACTTTCCAGTTTTTTCTTTCTTTTATATTTCCTCCGTTTTCTTCCTTTGTCCTGTCGCCATTTTGTTTGATCTTTTTCTAATGCCAACTCTTTTGTTGTCTTAATATCTCTTTCCACCCACTCTCTGACTGCTATATTTCTTTTTGCCTATTCATTCCAATTATCCTTTACTGTTCTTTCTGTGACCGAACACCCCTTTTATGTCGCTGCATTGTCCACTAACAACAAAGAATTTCACCTAATCCTCTCCAAAATCAATTTTACCATCTTTATCTCTCTCTAACTTGTTTACCTGCTTTCTCGATTGCTTTTGTTCTTTCTTTTTATCATATAACATTTTCTTTCTTTCTTTTTCTTATTTTACTTTTTTATCCTTCTCATCCTTCTTTGTTTTTGTTTCTTTCTCTTTATTTCATCAATCTTTCTTTCTTTCTTTTTTCGTTCATTCTCTCATATTTATCATTCTTTTATGATTTCCTTCCACTTGTTCTTTCTTTCTTTCTTTCTTTCTTTCTTTCTTTCTTTCTTTGTATGTTATTTTCCGTTTTATCCTTCTTTGTTCTTGTTCTTTCTCTTTATTCCGTCGATCTTTCTTTCTTTCTTTCTTTCTTTATGTTATTCTTATTTTCTTTTTCTTTTTACCCTTCCCTTCTTTCTGATTTTTCTCAGTATGATGAGTATATGATATTTTATTTGTTATTTTTTTCATTTCGTTATATCCTATGTTTGTGTCTTTTTCTTCTTTCATTCACTTCACCTGTTTTTTTCTTTCATTTCTTATTTGGTTTCTACTTTAGGAATGATTCTATTTTCATAACCTTTTTTGCTTAATTCTCTTTTTTCCATTCATTTCTCTTTGTCCTTTCACAATATTTCTTTTTTTGTCTTTCTTAATAATGCTTTCGAAGTCTTTTATTCATTCTTATTTTCAATTGTTCGTTTTCTTTTCTGTACTTTTATCCATTAATTGACTTTCTTTTTTTTTCTCACTCTTGTTTCTTTCTTTCTTTTGTTTATTTGTACATTTCCTTCTTTCTTTCTTTCGTTTTTTCCCTTCTCTTATTTATTTGTACTTCTTTCTTTCTAGTTGACCCATTCATTTCTTGTACATTGTTAGCGTTATTGTCTGCACAGAACCAACCTCTTTTCCCCCATTACAAAAGCAATACGTTTTGTGCAAAAACGGCTGCAAGAAATGTTTTTTTATGGAGCGTTACATAATTGTTTAGCATAAGATTTATTTCCAGAAATAATCTTTTATAGACATCCTGCCTCAGCACACAAATACCGCTTGGCACGGACATTATTTTTCTTGGTATGATTTCTCTAGATAATCCATTTAACCAACTGTTAAACACTGTAAAATTTGTTCATATTTTCCATTGAGAATGCATGTGTGTGTGTGTGTGCGTAAATATAAATGTTGACATTTTTCAATGTTTGCAACAATTTAGTTTAAAACCATGAATTCCTATATCTTCATGTATGATTAAATAAGTAACAAATAGGAAAATATTTCGGCATTTATCTAGCATCAAGTTGAATAATGCGGAGTTGTTTCAGTTTTTAACTTAAACTGGTTCGCCGTCGCACGTCCAAGTCTGCCGACAACGACATGGTGGCAAGTAGCTAGCGCCGCACGTGCTGTACTGGCCTCGTCGTTGCCGCGTTCAATTCTCTCGACATTTTGTGGTTGGGTGCCGGTGAGCCAGTTTGTCGCGTTTTGTGGATGAAGACAGCTCCTGCCACGCGCTTGTTTAACCGATGATGCCGGGGCTTACTCTGTCCGGGACAGATTCTCAGACGGTGGTTCTTGACCTTCTTCTTGGCCCTCGTACACATTTTTAAAACCACACACACACACACACACACACACACACACACACACACACACACACACACACACACACACACACACACACACACAATCAAACGAAAAACATGACGGAGGATGGAGATCGCGGTTAGCTGCGATGACTGATGCGAACTCAGTGAACATCGACATCTCGAACGCATATTGCGGCTTCGAGATCCCTTGTCTTGAGGATCCGTCCGGTCAAAGAACCGGCTTATAGACATTTTTCTGTCACCCAAGGATTGTTGCCAGGCAAAAAGGGAAATTAGACCTCTCAACACAGATGTCCATTTCCATATTATTCAAATTTTCTGTATACGTAAATTTGCATGTGCGCGTTTATATTGTAATTCAATGACAGGAGTAAAAATATTTTTACAAAAGTTTTAAGATAATCCTATTTCATACAAAATAATTTCCGAAAAGTTCAATTTATCGAATTTTTAGGGCTTAAAAAATAACGTTTTTTTTTTGTCTCCAAATTTGTTCAGGCCAGGGTAGGGGTTGTCCAGACATAGTGAGATGTGAATGTATTATTCTAATGTCGTATTTCAAACTCACTAGAATTGTGCTGATCAGCTGTTGTATACTGGTACACATGCATGTCTTTTAGTCTACCAACTAGTGCGTCCATTTACAGTCATATCTTAGTCAGCCTATGAACATTCCAGCCGAACCCCGTATGTACAGGTTGCGATGAGTAAATTGTCGCTATTTTATATTTTTAATTTCGCGCATGCGCGTTGTTTGTTTTTTGTCGACAGCCTACTATAGTAGGGACAATTGGGCACCGTCTGTGAGAAAAAGAGCACCATGACGTAATTTACTCTGCCAGAAATTTGGAAACGATTTGCTGTACTGCTTGGCATTCGCACCGAAAGCTTCAATTCAGAGTGTTTGGGTGTCAATTTGAGAACAGTGCAGAGGATTCGGAAAGAGTTGGATGACATATCCAGCCAGCATAATGGTATTTGGAGTGATCAGTAGTGATGGCGACGTTATGCCTCCATTAATCTTCCCACAGGGTCTCAGATTCAACACGGAGGCCTACATCAAGTGCTTTGAGGAGGTAGTGCTGCCCTGGGTCAAAATGGTGGCTGCTGTAAGACCCTATATTTGGCAACAGGACTCTGCACCGTGCCCCACAAGCAGGAGAACCCAATCATGACTGTCAGAGAATTTCTGCGACCACATCACTCCTTACATTTGGCTACCTAACTCTTCAGACTGCAACCAACTTTATTATGTGTGGGACGCAGTTGAGCGTGAGACCAACAAAAATTCTTGTAACATCAAAGATGAACTGAAAGCAAGGATTATGACAGCATTCACCAACTTAATCAAAGAGACCGTCCACAAGAGTTGCAGGAGATTCCGAAATCTTCTGGAGATCGTGATTGAAGCCAATAACGATTTTATTGAATACATTTACTCTTTAGTATTCCAAGATAATTTTTTTTTGAAATTTTGGTAAATATATTTCTTAAAATGAGATGTCCGTGTTATTTTCATTTGTGCGTAATTTAGACAACTGTTTAACCATTGCACCCTGTATATGTGAAGACGGGTGATCTGGAAAACTAACTAACTAACTATATATATATATATAAAAATATATTTCTTCGTATATATATATATATATATATATATATATATATATATATATATACGAAGCAATATATTTTTAAGGTGTGCTATATTTATGGGATAAAGTGCTCAATATTGAAGTCAATTTTCAGAGGCTACAGGCTGTTTCATGCTGGACGCAATCGTCAGGTCTGACGATTACGTCCAGCATGAAACAGCCTGTCGCCTCTGAGTGTTGATACGGTATTATCAGTCTATCTTATAATGGATAGCGGCTCGGATTGAGGAATCGGAGAGCAGAGTTCGAATTCCAGTCGAATCCATTGCATTCACTTACGTGGTAATACCCTTGAGAAAGGTATGAATCCTCTTCTCCCCACCAGCTAAGGGTAAATAGCAGGACAGACTTAGTTATATAGCCTTGGATGGAAAGTGGTTAGATACCGCAGAAAGAAATGGCAACTTCCTGCAGAAAAAAAAATCTGCCTCGTCAGTCATGCAACGAAAGATACATGATCGCCTAAGCGTGTATCACGTATGGCACGTAACTGACTGAATGTATGAATTGGTTTCACCGTAGTTTAGGGAATTGCTGTATTTAATTCTCGTGACAATTCCATCCGGATATGGTAAGACCGCATATTTATTTTGGCATCCACGCAAAAATTGTTTCAACTTGGTTGGGAAGTTTTATCTCATTCACCCGATATTGTACTTTTGGGTTATAAGATTCAACTTTGGGTCAGATATACCTCATTTGGGTGCGTTCTTATCATTATTTGTAAACTTGATTTTTCACTTTGTCTTTGCCCTTTCAATTGCTACTTTTCCCACCTCAGCCTGTTTTTTTTTTATATTCCATCTACTGTCGGCTCTAATTCCTCAAATGTTTGGGTTACTGCGTGCCAAATTATCGAGATAACTTTTTTTCTAATATTTGCGTACTTGTGTAGGGTCGGCGGTGAATTTTTCACTGTTTGATGACACTTCCCTATCATTTTAAAAATTTCTAGGATAGATTTACTTATTGAGAGTTCTGAGGTAATAGTTTTCTTTTCAGCATCACTTAAACTGCTTTTACGGCCCATCTTTTCACTAAATTCTTATACTTTTTTGGCACGCTCAAATCACCGTGCTGATAACAAATATGACGCCAGTTTGTTTACCTTGCGCAGATCAGTACAAAAATTTCAGCGATTGCGCAGTTCGGTGTTGTCAACATTGTGTGAAAATTTTGTGTGAATTGATTGGACGGTTTTTGAAATATTAGAAAAAAAGTTATCTCGATAATAATTTGGCACGCAGTGTATATTCCCATTTTTGGAAAATTCAAATTTTCAAAAAAAAATCAACTCTCCAGGAAGACTGAAAAGGAAACATTGATCAGTTCATTGCAGAGAAATTTACAAACCTCTGGGATGATGTAACTATGAAATTGTTTGAAACTTGGCAGAAGATGGTGAAACAAAATATGTTGCTCGATGAACTTAACATCGAAAATTAACACAAAAACGTATTTAATTCTTTAGTTTTTAAATCAATCTATATTTCTTAACGTTGACCTGTTATTTATGCAACTTGTTAATTCTATGAAGTTTACATGGTGTGATATTCGCTGTGATTATAAAAAAATTATTCGAAAGAAAAATATTTAAAAATATTATAATATATAAAATAAACAATATCCTCGATGCATATAAAGCTTTCTTATTTTAAGAAATTTATTAAATATTAAATAAATACTTTGACAATTAGTTTTAAATCAATAACTCAACTCTGCATTTGTTTAAAAATATGAATTAACATAAATATTATGATTTCGCCTGCTTCACTGTTATCCGTGTCAAAGAGAGACGTATAGAAATTAAATCCAATAGATATATTTTTCAACCAATAAAATCCCATCAGAAGATTTGTTTGATAAGCAATTACTAGGGCAAATACCGCCAAAACATTTGGTGGACAGTTGTGGACCAACCTCGTGTTACCATCTAAAAAATAATAACTCCATTTACCACTCCCGAAAATTCGAGAAAAAAGATTTTTGCGAGCCAGCGTGAAATTATTTTCTAACTAATGAAAAACGTGTATTTAAAAAAGATTGCATCTTTATGTGAAATTAGATTTTGGGTTTCTCTTACGGATATATATATAGAAGCATACTGCTTCTCGGGGTTTAAAACAATTTCGGAGGCCAGTTTGATCTACAAGAGCATACACCCCTCCAAGACACGCAATACAGTAGAAGAGATGAGCAACCAGCCGCTGACTAAGGCCTGGTCTACGCACTCACTGTCACATTAAGCTGACCGTCATAACGTAAGTCTGTCTACACATCTCTATATGAACACTAAATTAATTGATAAAACAAACTTGTATGTTTCTGAAAAGAATATATAAATGTTATTTCAACTGACGCTCATCTTCTTTTTCTTCAGGGAATAACTTTTTTTATGTTTCAGTTAAAAGATATGTTGTTGTTGCTAAATGTTTCCAATTCCGACACTCAGATAAAAAACAAAAACCTGGGTAGACGGTTCCCGACAGACACCATGACAGTTTTTGTTATATTGTCAGCTTCATTATTTTCGATGACATCGTCGTCCAAAGAGACAAAAAAAAAAAAAAAAAAAATGACGTCGTCTTCATTGCTGTCTTGTGCGCTTGTAATGCATAATTATTTTTTTTTAAATTGACTTTCCAGTGACAGTTTCAGGGATGCTTTGCCAGGCTTCCAATATCCATGAACAAATAACGGAAATCTCCGGTCGGTGAATATGGCATGTCAAGAGCGAGCCATTTGTGCTTGGCTTTTAAATACTGTATAATTTTATATTGTCTCAAAGCACAATATTGTAAATTATATAAATTCTTAGGGACTACTTATATATAATGGTCCATAAAAGGAATTAAAAAAAAGAAAAAAAGTAGATTAGGATTCTTTAGATCATTCTTTGGCTGTGACACTTGTCAGAATCGAAAAAATATTGATTAAAATAAAATAATCTTAAAAGAATGTTCCTGTTCATAATATCAAGACAGTACCAAATCGATCACTTACTTTTACAGAGTTATTGGACTTAGATGATATTTACAAATGTCATGTTTGAAAGTGGGGTAAACTAAACATCATTGATATATGCACATATATTTTTTTTAATTTTATGAATTTTTGAACCTATTTTTTAAAACCTTTTAAAAAAGTCTTTCTATTTAAAAAAAAAACAAACTTTTTTGCATGTGATTTTTAAAAACCACATGCACAAACATTTCAGGTTAATAATTATTTATTTTAAATGAAGAATAAACGGATACATTTATTAATTTATGTAAATTTTTGTTCGTCAATTACACCTGTATATATCTGTTTTGCTATTTATTTAAAAGAAATCTTTTTCTGTTTTCGTACGCAAAAAAAAAAAAAAAAAAAAAAATTGTTAAATAATTCAGTAAAAATTAGGGATCGTTTTGACTCCGTAGCAATATGGACCAATCTATTTAAGTAGTCCCAATTCTTATTTTAACCGACGCCTGTGGAACTCTCTTTCAGCTTCTTGCTTTCCTAACTACAGCTGAATCAAAAGTTAAATTTAGCTGCTGCAAATTCGAAAATTTCAGAGAGAATTATACACGAGAGATGTCTTATTCAGAATTTCTTAGCCCAAAGTTAGAGGCGCGTATTATATAGGGGTATGTAATATACACGAAAAAAGTTATGTTACTTCATCGATATATTGGTTTCTTCTATTACTACATGTTGACTTTGTTTATTAATTCTTAACGTTAATACAAAAAGGGGCATAATTCAGGAAAAAATTGGCAGGGTTACTTCCCTTGTTTTTTTTTTCCCATTCATTATAATTTCTTTTTGGTTTCATAATTCCATAGTTGCGATAGCAAAAAAAAATTACGGGAGTTAATTCTTTTGCATTTCTTAGAATAAATATTAGTAAAAGCCTGGAAATTTTTCATTTGAATATTAAATTCCCCAAGATTAGCAACATTTAATTCTTCTAATTTTGATTGTATTCCTAAAGCAACCATTGTTTTCTCCCTCTCGAACTACTCGACTGTCAATGTATTGGTCGAACCTCACATATGGGCAGTGATTAAATTGCACTAAATTAAATAAAGCTTTATTACAAGCTTAAAGTTTTTTTTGTTACATCTAGAAACAAATACTGTTGGCTGAAAAATTCGATTTATTAAGTATTATTTCTACTTAAGTAAACGAACATTTTGGTCAACCTAATATTGGCCTATAGAAAGAATATTTTAATGTTTCCATTAAACTTTCATCATTTTTATCTAATGATATAAATTAAAAATATAGTTTGGACGAGTATTATATATGTATTAAAATTTCGCGCTATAACTTTTCGTCGTTTTTCAATTTAATAATATGAATTTTTCCAGTTTTCAGTTACCTTTTTGAAATAAAAAGACCTAAGGGAAAGACGAATATTTTTTTAGAATTCTTTCGCTTATGTCATTTACTAAGCTTAGGTTAGTTTTGGTGCAAAGCCACAATTCTGAGATATTTAGTAAATTTCAATTTTCACGACTAATTGTCTACCAGACAAAATCGTTAAATATTAATCCTCTGCCGAAGAGCTTGTTATTTGTCTTGTTTTGAGTAACAAGAGAAACAATTTGACTACCCTTAATCATTTTTAACTATATTAAATAATATTTTCCATTATGAACAATCATTATTTCTAATAGAATTCTTTTGGCACTAATTCTATGAAGGTGATATCATTCTTCTTTTGGGATATAACTCAAATCAATGTGGTTTAAAATTTGGGCTTTCTAAGAAGGTTGATCAATTAAGACTGACCGATATGCACCTTTACCTTTGAAAACGTCTTTTGTCATCCACTGTGCTATAGATTGGGGTTGGGCTCCAGTTCGTTCACTTTTTACTAAAAGACAAAAAAAAAAAAAAAAAAAAAAGACACAAATGTGGGAAATTTAACGACTCCCCAAAATGAGTCGTGGCTTGATGAACAAAGATGAGACAATAGAACAGTTTAAAAACATACTTTATATAAGAAATACAGTTCATAACGAACAGAGAATTGCTAAAATCGTATTCTTCTAGCAGTTAAAAGTCATGACATCAGAGATGATATGCAAGTACATGTGTCTTTTTGAAATAGATAAAACATCTGTAATGTGGTGTCTACTTCCGAAAGCTGCTTTTAATCGCCTATTCTCGGAGTAGACGAAAACACACCTTTCCCGTTCGTTGTCTCAGGACCTCACTCATTTGGCGTTCGAATTTTATTCCGCGCCTAATTTTAGGTCATACTCATTATTATCAAATGAATAGTTCCGACCTACTATCAGTAGGAGTTATCTATCAAAGCGAGATAACCTATATTTTTAATAAAAAAAAAAAAAAAAAAAAAAAAATTTGTATTTTTGACTTCAATCTATGAATGTTATTGAGATGAACTGTATCATTTGTCTAAAATTATTACTGTCATTACTTTTTGTTTTAGTAGAGGTCCTCGTTTATTTACAAGGACTGAAATTGCGTTTACCGGCTTAGATCATCGAAAGTTTTATTAAAGAAATATGTACCTCTCGATAGGAATTTCTTTTTCATTACCATTTCGACCACAGGGGGCCTTACAGAAAGGCAATGTTCAAGTAGCCTTTTAAAGTAATATATGTATGTATGTATGTATGTATGTATGTATGTATATCTATCTATCTATCTATCTATCTATCTATCTATCTAAATCTCTTCGTGATCTATCTATCTATCTATCTATCTATTCGTGATCTATCTATCTATCTAAATCTCTTCGTGATCTATCTATCTATCTAAATCTCTTCGTGATCTATCTATCTATCTAAATCTCTTCGTGATCTATCTATCTATCTATCTATCTATCTATCTATCTATCTATCTATCTATCTATCTAAATCTCTTCGTGATCTATCTATCTATCTATCTATGAGACTTTTTACTTCGTTTATGTTTCCGTTATAAATATATACACAGACACATGCACACACACACGCATATATACATGAATAGAAGTATAAAAATAACATTTTTTATTATTTAATATTATTTTTATTTTATATATATATATATATATATATATATATATATATATATATATATATATATATATATATGTATGTATGTATGTATGTCTGTATGTATGTATATTAACTTGAAATTTAATAGTTTTATTAAATCGCCCATCATCGACTAACACAATACAACAAAAACCACGAGAAATCTAATAAATACTTATAGATAATATTATATTATATAAACTACATAAAAATGATTACAAATATTTGAAGTTTTAATCATAAAAAATAAGCAAGCAGCAATTAATTGAGTTTAAGAAATCAATTTAAATATATTTAATATTTAAATATTATATATTTAATATTTAAAACAAAACAGTAAAAGTATAAAAAAAACAGTAAAAATATCATGTAATATTTAAAACTAATACTCGTCTAAAATAAATTCAAAACCTAAACGATTTTTAATAA